GGTTAGTAGGTGTCTTGTGGCCAAATTTGGCAGCAATTTGTCCAATGGTTTTTGAGTTATGTTAATCCCACAAACGAACATTACATTTATATATATATTAGCTTGGGGACCCGGCGCTGCCCGGGTAATTTGAGAAAGGCATTGTGTGTTAAGGTTGGTCTTTATCAGTTATTTATGTGGCTCGCAGTGCTCTCAGGAAGTTAGTGAAGGTAAGGCGAGTCCCATGGTCCACGGTCCTCCAAACAGCACCAGGTCATGGGGGCTCTGTGTGCCAAGTTTGGTCTTTATCAGTCATTGGAGGAGGGTCGCAGCCGTGTCGGGAAGTGAGTGAAGGTCCCATCATCCTTCAAGTCCCATCATCCGTGGTCCATTCTCCTCCAAACCGCACCAGGATGTAGAGTGGGTCATGAGGGCTCTGTGTGCCAAGTTGGGTCTTTATCGGTCTTTGTTGGGGGCTGAAGTAGTCTGTGGGAACTGAAGGGTGGGAAAGTACTACAGATCCCATCATCCATTGTCCCTCCTCCCCCAAAACTCACCAGGACATAAAGGGGGTCATGGGGGTTATGAGTACCAAGTTTGGTCTTGATCGGTCCTTGGATTAGGGTTGCAGCGGTCTCGGGAAGTGAGTGGAGGTACTTCAAGTCCCATCATCCATGGTCTGCCCTCCTCCAAACTGCAGTAGGATGTAGAATGGTCATGGGAACTCTGTGTACCAAGCTTGCTCTTTACTGGTCTTTGTTGGGGGCCACAGTGGTCTGTGGGAACCGGTGGGTTTGAAAGTACTACAAATCCCATCAACCTTTGCCCATCCTCCCCCAAACCTCACCAGGACGTAAAGGGGTTATGTGTGCCAAGTTTGATCCAGGTCCATCACCCATGCTGGTCACAGTGGCCTGTGAAAGTGGCAGCCAATCAGAAAGCTGCCACATACACCGTCCTCCCTCCGCATACAAACACTGACTTTTATTATATACATAGATAATGGCCGAAAGCGAGGAGGAGCTGAGGAGCCTTCTAATCAAGGTGAAAGAAGAAAGTGCAAAAGCCGGGTTGCAGCTAAACATCAAAAAAACCAAGATTATGGCAACAAGAATGATTGACAACTGGAAAATAGAGGGAGAAAAATAAAAGAAGAAAGCGCAAAAGCTGGGTTGCAGCTAAACATCAAAAAAACCAAGATTATGGCAACAAGAATGATTGACAACTGGAAAATAGAGGGAGAAAATGTGGAGGCCGTGACAGACTTTGTATTTCTAGGTGCAAAGATTACTGCAGATGCAGAGTGTGGCCAGGAAATCAGAAGACGCTTACTTCTTGGGAGGAGAGCAATGTCCAATCTCGATAAAATAGTAAAGAGTAGAGACATCAGACTGGCAACAAAGATCCGCCTAGTCAAAGCCATGGTATTCCCTGTAGTAACCTACGTGGATGTGAGAGCTGGACCTTAGGGAAGGCTGAGCGAAGGAAGATCGATGCTTTTGAGCTGTGGTGTTGGAGGAAAGTTCTGAGAGTGCCTTGGACTGCGAGAAGATCCAACCAGTCCATCCTCCAGGAAATAAAGCCCGACTGCTCACTGAGGGAAGGATACTAGAGACAAAGTTGAAGTACTTTGGCCACATCATGAGGAGACAGGAAAGCCTAGAGAAGACAATTATGCTGGGGAAAGTGGAAGGCAAAAGGAAGAGGGGCCGACCAAGGGCAAGATGGATGGATGGCATCCTTGAAGTGACTGGACTGACCTTGGGGGAGCTGGGGGTGGTAACGGCCGACAGGGAGCTCTGGCGTGGGCTGGTCCATGAGGTCACGAAGAGTCGGAGACGACTGAACGAATGAACAACAACAACAGACTAACTGTGCCCTGCCACGCGTTGCTGTGGCCTATAGTAAAACTTATCAAAGTGGAGGTAGATATCTGGACTATTATGAAAGAGAAGTACCTACCTATTCCTTCCCCCTTTTCCTCCCCTTTCTCTCCTTTCTTCCTTCTCTACCTCTTTCTTTCTTTCCTTCTTTCACTACTTGGTTTCCTCCTTCTCTCTTTCCTTCATTCCCTCCCCCTTTCTTCCTTTGCCTTTCTTCCCTCCCTGTTTGCTTCCTTCTTTCACTTTTTATTTCCTTTTATTTCACCACCATCATAACAATAACAATAATGCAATGCATTGCCTCTGGGACCTGACACCTCTCCCATTCCCCCTAAAAGGGTCTCATAGGAATAATAGCATAATAATAATAATAGAAATAACAACCTTTACCCGCCACGTGTTGCTGTGGCCAACCTTCCCTCTTTCTCTCCTTCTTTCCCTCCTTTCCTTTCCTTCCTTCCTTCCTTCCTTCCTTCCTTCCTTCCTTCCTTCCTTTCCTTCCTTCCTTTCTTCCCTCCTCTTTCCTTCTCTCCTCTCCTTCTCTATCTCTTTCCTTCCTTCCCCCTTTTCTTTTTCTTCCTTCTCTTTTCTTCCTTCTCTTCTTTTCCTTCTTTCCTTCCCTCCCTCTTTCTCTACATCTTCCCCCTTCCTTCACTCCCTCTTTCCTTCCTTCATTCCCTTTTTTCTTTCCTTCTCTCCTTCCTTCCTTCCCCCTTTTTCTTTTTCTTCTGGTCTCTTTTCTTCCTTCTCTCTTTCCTTCTTTCCTTCCCTCCCTCTTTCTCTACATCTTCCCCCTTCCTTCACTCCCTCTTTCCTTCCTTCATTCCCTTTTTTCTTTCCTTCTCTCCTTTCTTCCTTCCCCCTTTTTCTTTCTCTTCTGGTCTCTTTTCTTCCTTCTCTCTTTCCTTCTTTCCTTCCCTCCCTCTTTCTCTACATCTTCCCCCTTCCTTCACTCCCTCTTTCCTTCTTTCATTCCCTTTTTTCTTTCCTTCTCTCCTTCCTTCCTTCCCCCTTTTTCTTTCTCTTCTGGTCTCTTTTCTTCCTTCTCTCTTTCCTTCTTTCCTTCCCTCCCTCTTTCTCTACATCTTCCCCCTTCCTTCACTCCCTCTTTCCTTCCTTCATTCCCTTTTTTCTTTCCTTCTCTCCTTCCTTCCTTCCCCCTTTTTCTTTCTCTTCTGGTCTCTTTTCTTCCTTCTCTCTTTCCTTCTTTCCTTCCCTCCCTCTTTCTCTACATCTTCCCCCTTCCTTCACTCCCTCTTTCCTTCCTTCATTCCCTTTTTTCTTTCCTTCTCTCCTTCCTTCCTTCCCCCTTTTTCTTTCTCTTCTGGTCTCTTTTCTTCCTTCTCTCTTTCCTTCTTTCCTTCCCTCCCTCTTTCTCTACATTTTTCCCCCTTCCTTCACTCCCTCTTTCCTTCCTTCATTCCTTTTTTCTTTCCTTCTCTCCTTCCTTCCTTCTCCCCTTTTTCTTTCTCTGTCTCTCTTTCCTTTCCTTCCATCTTTCCTTTCCTTTTCTTCTTCCTTCTTTCTCTAACTTTCCTTCCTTCCCCCTTTTTCTTTACCTCCCTTTCTCTTTCTTCCTTCTTTCCTTCCTTCCTGTCTTTCCTGGATTTTGACAGGGCGGGAAGGGGCAGGGTGGGGTTTGGAGGTGGCGTGAAGTAAAAGGAGGTAAGATTGGGGCAGGGGAGTGATGGAGCGTGGGGTTGCGTGTGTGTGTGCGGCGGTGGGGGAGTGATGGAGCGTGGGGTTGTGTGTGTGCGTGCGGCAGGGTGTGTGTGTGTGTGTGCGGGAAGCGGCGCGGTGGGGCTTGGAGTGGGCATGGCTTTTGCAGAGGGAACGTTGGCCGGAAGGCTGTGTGCGCGCCCAGGGAACTTGCGGCTGGGCGCCAATGCGCATGCTCAGTTGTTTTGCCGTTTGTGAGTGTGTTGTTGTGTTGTTTTTCATTTTGAGTAGATATGTTTGTACCTTGTGGGTTGTGTTATGGGCATGGGAATTTTGGTTAAGTTTTCGTTGGGGTTTTTGAGTTTTGTTGTTTTGCCGTTTTGTGAGTGTGTTGTTGTGTTGTTTTTCATTTTGAGTAGATATGTTTGTACCTTGTGGGTTGTGTTATGGGCATGGGAATTTTGGTTAAGTTTCGTTAGGGTTTTTTTGAGTTTTGTTGTTTTGCCGTTTTGTGAGTGTGTTGTTGTGTTGTTTTTCATTTTGAGTAGATATGTTTGTACCTTGTGGGTTGTGTTATGGGCATGGGAATTTTGGTTAAGTTTCGTTGTTTTTTTTTAGTTTTGTTGTTTTGCCGTTTTGTGAGTGTGTTGTTGTGTTGTTTTTCATTTTGAGTAGATATGTTTGTACCTTGTGGGTTGTGTTATGGGCATGGGAATTTTGGTTAAGTTTTGTTGGGTTTTTTTTTGAGTTTTGTTGTTTTGCCGTTTTGTGAGTGTGTTGTCGTGTTGTTTTTCATTTTGAGTAGATATGTTTGTACCTTGTGGGTTGTGTTATGGGCATGGGAATTTTGGTTAAGTTTCGTTGGGGTTTTTTAGAGTTTTGCTGTCTCGTTGGACTCGCCTAACAGTTTTTTATATATAGATTCTTGTCATAGATAGATAGATAGATAGATAGATAGATAGATAGATAGATAGGGCCTGTCTGGAAGGACGCTACGACTCAATGGAGAAATGGGTTCAAACCACAGGAAAGGAGATTCCATGAAGAAGAACTTCCTAAGGGTAAGAGCTGTTCAGCATTGGAACTCTCTGCCTCAGGGTGTGGTTGAGGCTCCTTCTTTGGAGGCTGGATGGGCATCTGACGAGGGTGCTTTGACTGTGTTTATCCTGCATTCCGTCCAGAACTGGGTTGGACTAGATGGCCCTTGGGGTCTCCTCCAACCCTGCCATTCCATGAACCCTGGGATTTCCAGTTTGGGGAGGCAGAGAAGGCTCTGAAAGGCCTTGCAAAACTCCAGCGTCCGTGACTCCACAGCCAAAGACAAGGCACCCCCTCTAGCGGTGGGAATGCGCCCTGCAGCTTCCTTCCTTCCTTCCCAAAAGGAGCCTCAGGAAGCGTGCGCGCGCAGCCAGAGGAGGACCGAGCCTTTGCCTCGGTGACGTCACCACTTCCGGGCTTTTTGAACGCCGGGGCGGGAAAATGGCGGCGGTGCTGGAGGCGCGCCTCTCCCTCGGCCCCGTGCTGAGCCCCCCGCCCGGCCTCCATGGCTCCCTGGGCCCCTCCGGTGGGTGACTCGGGCGGGGCTGGGCCGGGAAGGCGGAGGGAAACGGGGAGAGGGCCCCTCCGCCTCCGGGACGGGTTCCCTGGCTGCCTCGAGAGCAGGCCTTTCTCCTGCAGGCCCCGCTGGGACGCAGTCCAGTGCGGCTGAATCTCCTCAGCTGGCGGAAGCTCCTTCCTTGGAGGCTTCTAAACAGAAGCTGGGTGGCCATCCGTCGGGAGTGCTTTGATGGTGTTGTTCCTGCATGACAGAATGGGGTTGGACACTAATAAGACAGAATGGAGTTGGACTCTATAAAAGCCTCCAAGGAAGGAGCTGTCACCACAATCCGGAGCAGAGAGTTCCAGTGCTGAACAGCTTTCACAGTTAGGAAGTTCTTCCTCATGTTCAGGTGGAATATCCGTTCTGGTAGATGAAGCCATTGCTCCATTGAGTCTCAGGGACCTTCCAGACAGGCTCTTTCTCTCTCTCTCTATATATATATAGAGAGAGAGAGAGTTTATCACAGATTATGTGCATCAATAGGAGCCTAGTGTCTAGATCTAGGGAAGTAATGCTACCCCTCTATTCTTTGGTTAGACCACACCTGGAATATTGTGTCCAATTCTGGGCACCACAATTCAAGAGAGATATTGACAAGCTGGAATGTGTCCAGAGGAGGGCGACTAAAATGATCAAGGGTCTGGAGAACAAGCCCTATGAGGAGCGGCTTAAGGAGCTGGGCATGTTTAGCCTGAAGAAGAGAAGGCTGAGAGGAGATATGATAGCCATGTATAAATATGTGAAGCCACAGGGAGGAGGGAGCAAGTTTGTTTTCTGCTTCTGGAGACTAGGACATGGAACAATGGCTTCAAACTACAAGAAAGGAGATTCCATCTGAACATGAGGAAGAACTTCCTGACTGTGAGAGCCGTTCAGCAGTGGAACTCTCTGCCCCGGAGTGTGGTGGAGGCTCCTTCTTTGGAGGTTTTTAAACAGAGGCTAGATGGCCATCTGTCAGGGGTGCTTTGAATGCAATATTCCTGCTTCTTGGCAGGGGGTTGGACTGGATGGCCCAGGAGGTCTCTTCCAACTCTTGATTCTATGAGAGGGCCCTTCCGCCTCCGGGACAGATTCCCTGGCTGCCTCGAGAGCAGGCCTTTCTTCCTGCAGGCCCCGCTGGGACGCAGTCGAGTGGGGCTGGCGGAAGCTCCTTCCTTGGAGACTTCTAAACAGAAGCTGGGTGGCCATCTGTCGGGAGTGCTTTGATGGTGCTGTTCCTGCATGACAGAATGGGGTTGGACACTAATAAGACAGAATGGGATTGGACTCTATAAAAGCCTCCAAGGAAGGAGCTGTCACCACAATCCGGAGCAGAGAGTTCCACTGCTGAACAGCTTTCACAGTTAGGAAGTTCTTCCTCATGTTCAGGTGGAATATTTATCTATTTATTTTATTTACTTTACTTGTATACCGCAGTTTCTCAGCCTAACAGGTGACTCAACGCGGTTTACAACAAGGATAAGATCAATCAACGATATACAATTTAAAACCATTAGAGCACAATATACAATATTGACACAACAATAACAACACAATGCATCTCTTAACTACAGTCGTGATCCAAATTCGTCGTCCATATTTCCATTCCTGTAATCGTCACATTCATTGCACTGATTAACCAAATGCCTGTTGAAACATCCAAGTTTTTAATCTTCTTCGGAACACCATTAGCGAGGGGGCTGATCTTACCTCCATGGGAAGGGTGTTCCACAGCCGAGGGGCCACCACAGAAAAGGCCCTGTCTCTCGTCCCCGCCAGCCGCACCTGTGAAGCAGGCGGGATAGAGAGCAGGGCCTCCCCAGAAGATCTTAGGGTCCTGGCGGGCTGATAGGCAGAGATACGTTCGGATAGGTAGCTTGGGCCAGAACCGTTTAGGGCTTTAAAGGCCAACGCCAGCACTTTGAATTGAGCCCGGTAGCAAATCGGCAGCCAGTGGAGCTGGTGCAGCAGAGGAGTGGTATGCTCCCTGCGCTTCGCTCCTGTTAGTATCGTGGCTGCCAAGCGTTGGACTAGTTGAAGCTTCTGAGCCGTCTTCAAAGGCAACCCCACGTAGAGAGGTGGTAGATGAAGCCATTGCTCCATTGAGTCTCAGGGACCTTCCAGACAGGCCCTATATCTATCTATCTATCTATCTATCTATCTATCTATCTATCTATCTATCTATCTATCTCCCAGGATCTGATCCCAGGTTTTCTGTGTATCGCAGATTATGTGCTGTCCTCCAACTATATGATTGTATGGCCCAATTCAAGGTGCAGGTATTTATTTATCGTGTCATCCGCAACCAGAACATTGTATTACATTTCTAACAGAACAAAACAAACAAACAGGAAAAAAAAAACAAAACAAAAAGGTGCAGGTGCTTAACTACAAAGCCCTAAATGGTTTGGGACCCATCTACCTACGTGACCGCATTTCTGTATACGAACCCACACGATCTCTTCGTTCATCTGGAGAGGCCCTGCTCACGATCCCACCTGTATCGCAAGCGCGATTGGTTGGAGGAGGGACAGGGCCTTCTCCGTGGTGGCCCCACGACTCTGGAACTCCCCAAGGACATCAGGCAGGCCCCAACTCTGGCAGATTTAGAAGGAGCTTGAAGACGTGGATGTTCCAGTGTGCCTTCCCAGAATAAGGACTCCCAAACAATATGTCCCAAATGCACTTTACGAGAGAGTTAGTACTGTCTGCACGCCCACCTATTTTTAGAATATCCCTGGACATGCCCAACATTTAAAAATATTAATTGTTACATTTGGCCCTGCCACAGGTTTTTAATTGCGTCATGTCATTATTGTATTGTTTTGCTGTGTTATGAGTTATTTATTGTTGCATTGTTGTTGTTATGTTTTATGATGTATTTGGGCTTGGCCTCTTGTAAGCCGCACCAAGTCCTGCGGGAGATGGTAGCGGGGTATGAATAAAGGATTATTATTATTATTATTCTCCTTGGCGGTGAGACTCTGGTCTGAGTCCCTGCTGCACTCTTAAATGAGGGTGATAGGGTTAAGGTAAAATGTCCCAAACCCAAGGCCCATGGGTCGGATCCGGTCTTTTACGTCATTTTATGTTCCTTCGAGATGCTAAACTCCATCTCCTGTATTCCTTCTTATTTGACATTGTGACTTAGAGCCAATGGGAGGTGCGATAAAAGTGGCACCTGGAAAGCTGCAGTTGGTTCTGTTTCATTTAAATCAGTCATGGGCCAACTTGGGCCCTCCAGGTGTTTTGGACTTCAACTCACACAATTCCTAATAGCTCATAGGCTGTTAAGAATTGTGGGAGTTGAAGTCCAAAACTGTGGGAGTTGAAGTCCATAGAGGGCCCAAGTTGGCCCATGCTTGATTTAGATACAAGGCCTGTGGGTATGATGCCTGACTTTAAAATGCCCGTTAACCTTTCCCCAACCTTAGAACCTTACCACGCTCTTGGGTTGCAATTCCCATCACCTCCAATCTGCATGGCAGGTCATCAAAAGTGATAGGAGTTGTTGTTCAATAACACCTGGGGACCCAAACAGAATGAAAACAGCACCAACCGCTATGTTTAAAAAAAGGCCCTCTGTATCTTTGGATTTTCTGTCCATGGATTCAAAGGTCCTTTTAAAGGAAACAAAGTTGATGTAGCCCTCCATGGAAATGAGCCTTGCGAATGAGGATCTCTTCCACTGATTGACACTGTGTTTCCACCCAGGACAACACCAGCGTGTGGGTGTCCCAGAGGACCTAGCCGACAAGCTTCTCTTAGCAAACTGGGGCCTTCCCAAAGCCGTTCTGGAGAAATATAATAGCTTGGGAATGGTCCGTATGTTCCAGTGGCAAGCGGAGTGCCTGATGGTTGGACAAGTCCTAGAAGGGAAAAACTTAGTTTACTCAGGTAAGCTACTATTTGATGCTTTCTAGTAATCAAATCTCAGTTGATGTCGCATTAGCCTGTCTCCCTGTGGCTTGTTAGGAGCGCTTTCCATTTCCATGTGTCATGTTTGATGTAATTTGTTATTTGTCTTTTTGTTGGCATATGTGTTGGAAGCTGCCCAGGGAGGTAGGCGATCTATAAATAATGATGATTTTATTTTTATTTATTGTGTCAGGAGCAAACCAAACAGTTGTATCTCATTTTTTAAACAAACAAAACACAAAGTTTGCAAGCTTGGTAGTTGATTAAATGTCCTTTGACCAGTAGGTGGCCACTTGGAGTGCTTCTGGTGTTGCTGCAAGAAGGTCCTCCATTGTGCATGTGGCAGGGCTCAGGTTGCATTGCAGCAGGTGGTCAGTGGTTTGCTCTTCTCCACACTCAGATGTCGAGGATTCCACTTTGTAGCCCCATTTCTGAAGGTTGGCTCTGCATCTCCAAGTTGTCCAGTTTTCTGTGTGCCCAGGGGGGAATCTCTCCTTTGGTATCAGCCATTGATTGAGGTTCTGGGTTTGAGCCTGCCACTTTTGGACTCTCGCTTGCTGAGGTGTTCCAGCGAGTGTCTCTGTAGATCTTAGAAAACTATTTCTTGATTTAAGTCATTGGCGTGCTGGCTGATACCCAAACAGGGGATGATGATGATGATGATGATGATTATTATTATTATTCCATTTCGACAAGGAGGCTAATTTGTATGTTTAGAAAAAGCATACCTCTGAAAATGTTCAAATGTCACATTCTCCAGCAGTCTGGTTAACTTGAGATATAATAAGTCTTATTATAATCTTTCCATTAGTACTTTATTTGTTAACAAGCAGCAGATCAGCCTCTTCGTGAACTTCCTTGTCAAAACTAAAGGATCTCTATAAAGAAAATTCCTTATAAAGGGCCTGGCATACCAAGCTGTTCATAGGTTCAGCAATCATCCCATTGGTTCTAATGTGAGAAAGTTCAATCTCCCCACCTCATCTAAACCTAATCTTAAACAGACTTATTGCTTCTTCAGTTCCCATTTGATAGTCCTTTCCAAATGATTGACTGTCAACCTTGTATGTTTCCATATAGCAAATATACGACAGGTGTCCATCCCATGTTGACATTTATGGCATGACTTCAAAGGAGTCATAGAGTGGTGGTGTTAATATGTTTCTTATTTATCTTGTATGCATATGTTCATAGTCGGGAGCTGCAGTGTGCTTCTGTGGATATGTTATTAAAACAGCTACGGGCACTCCCCAAGTTACAAATGACTCATAGTTAAGAATGGGGTGAGACAACAAATGAGAGAAGTCTACCCATAAGAAGGGAAAGTCACTCCCCAAAGAGTTATCATGGGGAAAAGGTGTCTCCACTGAAGCTTCATCATCAATCCTTCTTTCCACAACAAGCCAATTTTTCCTTTAAAAAATTGGCCCTTCAGGTGTTTGGGCCTCCAACTCCCAGAAGCGCTAGCTAGTTTGTCCAATGGTCAGGAATTCTGGGAGCCGAAGTCCAAAACAGTTGGGAGGCCACAGATTGTACAGGCATGTTTCACCACCATTTACCAAGCATTGGGAAAATCAAATTATGCAATGTATTATGATAAAGAGGAATTCTTTACTTTTTTTGCAAAAGTAGGTACATCTCATCTTGCCTGCATGCATGCTTGCCCGCCTGTACCATGTCCGATTCTTTATTGTTTTTATTGATTTATATCTTGAGATTCCTTAGTGATCAAACTCATATCTGTTGTCTTCCTTAGCCATTTGTTAACTTTTAAAGCTAATATGTTTCTTTCAATAACTTTCAGCTCCTACAAGTGCTGGGAAAACACTTGTTGCTGAATTACTTATATTGAAGAGAGTTCTAGAAACCCGCAAAAAAGCTTTGTTTATTCTACCCTTTATTTCTGTGGCAAAAGAAAAGAAATATTACCTTCAGGTAAGTATTCTCTGTAGAGCAGTGTTTCTCAACCTGGGGTTTAGGATCCCTGGAAGGGGGTCACAAGAGGGGTGTCAGAGGGGTGACCAACGACCATTGGAAAACACAGTATTTTCTGTTGGTCATGGGGGTTCTATGTGGGAAGTTTGGCCGAATTCTATAATTGGTGGGGTTCAGAATGCTCTATTACTGTAGGTGAACTATAAATCCCAGCAAGTACAACTCCCAAATATCAAGATCTATTTTCTCCACCAGTGTTCACATTTGGCCATATTGAGTATTCGGGCCTATCCATCATTATTTGAGTCCACAGTACTCTCTGGATGTAGGTGAACTACTATTCCCAAACTCAAGGCCCACCAAACTCTTCTAGTGTTTTCTGTTGGTCATGGGAGTTCTGTGTGCAAAATTTGATTCAACTCCATCGTTGGAATGCTCTTTAATTGTAGGTGAACTATAAATCCCAGCAATTACAACTCCCAAATGACAAAATCAACCCCCCCAAATCCCACCAGTATTCAAATTTTGACGTATGAGGTATTTGTGCCAAAGTTGATCCAGTGAATGAAAACACATCTTGCATATCCGATATTTACATTATGATTCATAGCAGTAGCGAAATTACAGTTATGAAGTAGCAAGGAAAATAATTTTATGGTTGGGGGTCACCACAACATGAGGAACTGTATTAAGGGATCGTGGCATCAGAAAGGTTGAGAAACACTGCTGTAGAGTAAGATTGATGCTCAGAAGTAAGATTAAAATGGTGTTGGGACATGGTCAGAGCTTGCAGTGCTCATTCTCTGTCTCTCTCTCCCTCTCTGGATTCATCTACACAAGTTAGTGGCATTTGATACCACTTTAAGTACCATGCTCCATACTGTGGAATCACAGGAGTTGTAGTTTCACAAGGTTTTTATGTTTTTTCAAACTATAGTCTAGTCTGACCCCCTAACATTCTGAGGGATCATGAACCAGCCCTTGGCTTACAAACTATGAGGATGCATATAGCTTTATACTCTGCAGGCCTAGCACAACTCTTAAATAGTGAACATATATAACATGTGTTTGCTACCTCTGTCAATAGGCTATTTTCCAAGAAGCAGGTGTGCGAGTAGAGGCATATATAGGGAGTATCTCTCCTTCAATCCGCTTTTCTGCCCTGGACGTTGCTGTCTGTACTATTGAGAGAGCCAATGGTCTGTTGAACAGACTTATAGAAGAAAAAGCACTGGATTCTATAGGTAAGCTATGAGAGCATTTCAATAATGATAACAAAATCTGAGAACCCCTTCACTACCTGTACTATTTATACAGGGTGAGGCAGCATAACTTCCTTTTTAAAAATGCGCACCATTCAGTCAGTTGAAGACGTAGCGGAGCGCTAGTGGTCTCGTTCGAGAGGCGGGAGTGTAAAGTTTTTTCCTGACACAGTTCAGTCGCCATCATGCGTTGGAACAGTGAGGAGCGTGCTTTTCCCGCCGAGGCCTACTTTTCGAGCGGATTTGGAGTGGCCGGCCCGCTCTCCAGATTTGGCCCCTTGTGATTTTTTTCTATGGGTTTTTTTGAAATCCCGTGTTTATGTGAACCGTCCAAGGACTCTGCAAGATTTGAAGACCAACATCCAGGAAGAAATTGCCAACATAACGCCTGCTATGCTGGCAAGAGTCATGACAAACGTCAGAAATCGGTTTACTCAAGTGTATGGAGAATGGGGGACGTCAACTACCTAATTTGATCTTCAAAACTACATAAAACAAAACTAGGTGTGCGCCTACATTATATATATATAAATTCTGATTCATACAATGGGTTTTATTAAGTTTTGAAAAAAAGGAAGTTATGCTGCCTCACCCTGTATTTCTGTCGTGACCCACAGAACACAGAAACTCCACCGCAGCAGCAGCGGTGGTGTCAGAATGCTGACTCACAACAATTTCCCTAACAAGTGGATTGTATTTAAATAATTTTATTTTAAAACTATATGCTACTGTATATGCCACCAACATTTGAATATGTTAGTTCTGGAGACATGATGTGACTTTATGTTTATCTTAGAACATGTCTACTTTTGTTCAAGTGACATTGCGTTTGATTACTGTTCAACGGAGAAAAAGTTGCGGGCCTGAAAATAGTTGTTCTTTTATGATTTTGGGGTGCTGAAAACGAAAATGACATTTAAAAATGTATATTGGCTCTAGTTTTTATGATATAAGCAATCACGTGATCACGTATGGTTGAAAAAATGCATGTTGCGACTTACACTATGGAAGATTCTAGAATATTCTAGAAAGTTTGATGATGCAGTATTAGTGCCGTGTGCAAAAGCCAGAAAGCCCTATATAAGGCCAGACTTTTGAACGGTGAGGGTCAGTCAGTTGAAGACTGAGACAGTATCGTTAAACATCGTTTTACATTGTTCTTTTTACTGTAGTTATGCCTCGCACGTGTGTAAATAAAGCACTATGGAAAAAAGATATCAAGGTAAATGGACTCCGTCAATGCTGTCAGACTACTGCTGGAGCATTGTAAGAGACAATCCTTTCCTTGAATACAAAAGAAAAGTCAAGAGAAGCAAACAGGATATAAAGTCACGATTAAAGCGACATTTAAACTTTCAGACTTTTCAACTGCATTAGGCCTACTAATATAGTTTCTTGCTGCACAAACATAAACAATAGACTAATTAAATAAATATTTCTCATGTATAAACTATTGGCAATATAATTTGACTAAAATTTAGTAAATATTCACGGTTTATATACATGCAGTAAGGTTAGGCATTATCATAATATTAACAAATTACCTATTGTGGAGAAAATTGAAATAGCTGTTGCATAAAAACCAGAGCCAAGTAACACATTTAATTATTATATTTGAATTCAGCATGTTAAATTTATTAAGAAACGGCACATTTCGTTTCCATAACTGAGAAAAACTGAAAATTTGTAGAACAGTGTTATCTAACCTAACTAGGCTAGCAACCCTCAGTTGTGAGTTCCAAAGAGTTATGTTAGGGTGTAATCTATGGACTTCATTGGATTTGCATACTTTCCATGTTTGTGCGAAAGGAAAATTACATTCAGTATATTGGTACCTATTGCAGCATTATTTGTACAATTGCATTTTGAAATCGCCCACAGATATGATAGCTCCTCATGCTGCATGAGGACTCATGAAATAGTATACTTAGAGAACATGCTTTTAAAGCCGAATTTAGGATAATCAAGAAAATGATTAACCTCTTCCCTCTCTTTAATAGGAATAGTGGTTATTGATGAATTGCATATGTTGGGAGACTCTCAAAGAGGTTACCTCCTGGAACTCCTACTGACAAAAGTTTGTTTTTTGACTGAAAGAATGAAGAACAAGTGAGTAAAAAATATTTATTTATTTATTTATTTACTAACTATACCACCTTTCTCAGCCTATCGACGACTCAAGGCGGTTTACAAGTCAGTACACATATCAAAATACATTAAAAACATTAAAAACAATATAAAGCTACAACAGAAACAATAAAATAATGAAAAAGAACACTCATCTCTTCACAGAGATGTTTTCAAACTCTTACTTTTTAAACAAAATACAAAGTTAAGTTTGTTATGTCTGATGAAAGTGTTTAAAAGGCTTCTTTAGCAATGAGGGATACTTTACAGACAACATTCCCTTCACTATGGAGGTATTTCTAACAAGATAGCCTCCCTTCTTTGGCATGTTAACTGTCTCTGATCTCAACTACATTTAAATGACCATTTCCATTTAGACATTCTTTCTGGGTAGATTGATTTGAATGAGCTTTTCAACAGGAATGTGGCACAATTAATTCTCTTTTTAAAAACAGGTCTTAAAACCGTGATTATAGGTAAATTAAATGCTAATTTCTGTTCTCCAACTCTCAAGTTTTCAGTAGGCATCAGGTTTCATGCCAGGGGAAGAAAGGCCTTTTCCAAAACAATTAGAGAACATTTTGATTAGTAGCAGCCTCCCAAAAAAACAAAAACCCCTCAACAGTATTTTAAGTTTGATCATTAAAATCATAGAACTGGAAGATACCACAAAGGCCAGGAACGAACCATTGGATGAAGGAAGAAAGTACATATAGAAGAGAAAGGGTCTGCTCTGTGTTTTGTTTGTTTTTTTGCATCCAAACTTGGTTTTTGTTTTAAGTTTAACAATAAAAGCTCTGTTTGGTCTTTAAGGTAAATTGAGCTTGGCTTGGCTAAACAGTAAAGTTTTGATGGCGGAACGACGCTGAGCAGTTTCAAGGATGAGTATCTTGTGGTCAGTGAGGATGAAAGTAAACAATCTTACGAAGTCTGGAGAGCCATTGGTTACACATATTTGTATAAAAAAATTACAGGTGCATTAGAATAAACCTTACTGCAGTACTCTGTTCCTAGCAGTGACAAGTTGGCTGTTTTCTGGAACCTTGCAAGCATAGCATGGAGTAATGAGCTTGACTGGAATATTTCTCTCTATCCCTATTGACTGTTGTTCATTTAGTAGGCAAACTTCTGCCCTCCAGGTAGACCTAATCTCCTAAAACCTCAAGCCATAATAATAATAATAATAATCATCATCATCATCATCATCATCATCATCTTTATTTATACCCTGCCACCATCTCCCCAATGGGGACTCGGGGCGGCTTACGTGAAGCCAAGCCTGGACAACATATTACAGCAAGATAAAACCAAAACATAAGCAACAAGCAACCATTAAAATTACATTAAAAAGAAGAAAAAAACAAAAAAACATATGAATACAATAACAAAATAACATTTCAATAAACACAATCACAGTGACAGTGGGTGGGCCGCATGTACAGGATAAAATGTTAAAAAACTCGAATGAGATAACAATAGCAGCAAGATTATTTGCAGGGAGCTCATAAAGAAACACGGGGTTGTGCAACTAAACTTCCCATTAGGGGGACATATACTCCAGTGATGGAAGTGTTGAGGGGAGCAGTAGTGTCATGTTGTATACCTACTCGCCTAAGGTGCAGCAGAAGAGCCAGGTTTTAAGGTTCTTTTTAAAGGTTTCTAGTGTAGGGGCTTTCCTGATCTCTCCAGGTAATGAGTTCCAGAGTCGGGGAGCCACAGAGGGGAAGGTTCTCTCCCTTGTGCTCACAAGATGAGCTCGTGAGACTGGCAGGGGTGAAAGGAGGGCCTCCCCTGAAGATCGAAGGGCCCGGGTTGGTTCATGGAGAGAGATACGGCCATGAAAGTAGGCAAGTCCCAAACAGTTCAGGGCTTTATAAGTGATAACCTGTACCTTGAATTGGGCCAGGAAAATAAACGGCAGCCAGTGGAGCTCCTTAAACGGGGGTTGACCACTCCCTGTAAATTGCCCCAGTTATTAATCTGGCTGCTGAACGTTGGACAAGTTGTAGTTTCCGGGCTGTCTTCAAGGGTAGCCCCACGTAGAGTGCATTGCACTAATCTAGTCTAGAGGTAACTAAGGCTTGGACAACCGAGGTCAAGTCAGACTTCACGAGGTATGGTTGCCGTTGGCGCACGAGTTTTAACTGTGCGAAGACCCTCCTGGCCACTGCTGACACCTGTACATCAAGCATCAGCGCTGATTCCAGGAGGACCCCCAAGCTACGGACCTGTGCCTTCAGGGGGAGTGCAACCCCGTCCAGCACAGGTTACCACCCAATACCCCAGTTAGACGAGCGACTGACCTGGAGGACCTCTGTCTTGTCAGGATTGATCCTTAGCTTGTTCATCTTCATCCAGATCATCACAGTGGCCAGGCACTGGAGTTGGGTGTAATCTGCCTAGAGATGGCACCGTACTCCAAAACCTCTCCCAGCGGTTTCATGTAGCATGGGAGACAGAATAGATGCTTGCGGGACCCCACAGGTCAACGGCCAGGAGTCCGAGCAGGAGTCCTCCAGCTTCATCAACTGGGAACGACCCTCCAGGAAGGACCAGAGCCACAGTAAAACCGTGCCCCTGAGTCCCATCCCAGTGAGTCTCCCCAGAAGGATACCATGCTCGATGGTATCGAAAGCTGCTAAGATATCCAAGAGAACGAGCAGGGTCACACACCCCCTGTTCGGTTCCCTGCAGAGGTCATCCACCAAGGAACCAAAGTACCGTGCCCAGGCCTGAAGCCAGTCTGTGAACGATCCAGAAAATCGGTGTCATCGAGGAATCCCTGAAGCTGCGAGGCAACCACCCGCTCCAGAACCTTGCCCAGAAAAGGGAGGTTGGAAATTGGTCTATAATTGTTACATATGGTCGGGTCAATGGTTATGGATTAAGGAAGCTTGAATTCAAATTAGGTTTAGGCCAACAGGTCACAAGGTTCTGACTTAGATAATAGTGGTTTATCTTTTATGATTTTTCTAGATCCCTTTACAGTCTCAGTGGTTGGTTATACAATGGGTTGACTCGGCAATATTCAGATATGTTTTAGGAACTTTTTATTTTTTTTTATTTTTTTGGTGTTTCAGACAGGCAAGCATGGGCAGCCCTCTCTCTAACATGATACAAATTGTTGGTATGAGTGCTACAATTCCTAATCTGGACCTGCTGGCTTCCTGGTTAAATGCAGAGTTATACCATACAGACTTCCGCCCAGTGCCACTTGTGGAACAGGTGAAAATTGGCAGCAAGATTTATGATGACTCAATGAAAATTGTGAGAGAAATTCAGCCTCTGGTACATATAAAGGTAACTTCATAGCTATAAAAATCAGCCTATTTAGAAAAAATGCTGTTTTATCTGAATATTAAATGTTTTATTCATAGATGCATAAGGTTTTAAATAAGTTGTATCATGCAGTAGGCAGACTATCAAGCCTTCCATGTGGAACTGCCCATGTAGAATATCAGCCTAAATGTCAAACACGATGTGACCTATCTCACCAAAGAGGGACAGCCAATGAAAAAAAATAAAGTTAAAAGTGGAGGTAATGTGGGCTAAGTTAAATATTTCTACTTTCGACTACAGGTAATTAAAAGGCAAATAGATTGCCAAGAAAATCATAAATTGCCTGATAGCAGAGTGTGTGTGGTGAGGTGGGACTTGAAGACTAGGTTCTCTGAGCAAGGAAGAGGCATAGGAAGTTTACTATGCAAATTCTGAAGGAAGCTCACTGTGTTCAGTGGTGTCTGTTGCACTACTTGGTTTGGGCCCCGGTTACACAGCCTGCACAGCCTCCCCCTTAGGACACTTAGGTCCTCCGAGTGCCATCTATACCAACTAGCCAGAGCCCAACTGAATACCATCACCTAGAGGACTTTTTCATTGGCCACCCCAAGACTGTGGAACGACCTGCTGGAAGAGATTTTACAGCTAAACCACCTGTTGGAATTTAAGAACCATCTCTTTTGGCAGGCCTACCCTATCAACTCTGAACAATGAGATTTGTTGTATGTTTATTTATACCCTATATGTATGTATTTTAAAAAATATGTTTTGACTGTGTTGTTTCCCACCTTGAGCCATTAGGAGAGACAGATAACAAATGGAATTTGTCATCATCATTATTATTATGGCAAGTTGCCATGGAATGGCAACTTTAAGAATTAATTTATATTGGGAGTGTAAATTCAAATAAACGCTTGAATGTCACATAGAAAGGCACAATTAATATTTTAAAATCCGTGTTTATTTCAATCTATATAAATAAAAATGTAATGTTCGTTTGTGGGATTAACAGAACTCAAAAACCACTGGATGAATCGACACCAAATTTGGACACAAGACACCTAACAACCCAATGTATGTCCTTCACTAAAAAAATTGATTTTGTCATTTGGGAGTTGTAGTTGATGGGATTTATAGTTCACCTACAATCAAAGAGCATTCTGAACCTCACCAACGATGGAATTGAAACAAACTTGGCACACAGTTCTCCCATGATCAACAGAAAATACTGGAAGGGTTTGGTGGGCAGTGTCCTTTGGTTTTGGAGTTGTAGTTCACCTACATCCAGAGATCACTGTGGACTCAAACAATTATGGATCTGGACCAAACTCTACACGGATATTCAATATGCCCAAATGTGAACACTGGTGGAGTTTGGGGAAAACAGAATCTTGACATCTGGGAGTTGTTGTTGCTGGGATTTATAGTTCACCTTCCATCACAGAGCATTCTGAACGCCACCAAGGATAGAATTGGGCCAAACCTCCCACACAGAACCCTCATGTGGGCCACAGCAACGCGTGGCATGGGACGGCTAGTTAAGAAATAGCATGATAGGTGTATTTTAAAAGAGACTTTATTTCAAAAAAGCTTCAACATCACTCAAAAATGGCCAGCATAATTTTCATTACAAAATCTCACTGAAATAAATTCCTGATAGATTCATAAGAATGTAGATTACCCTTTAGATTCCATTTCCTTGAACTACTTGCACATACTCAGGGTTATCTAAGGGTTCTTGTAGCCTTCCCAATATGTCCTAGCTGTGTCTTGGCAGTGTAGTTTTGCCTAATTGATAAAAACATCCGTTTAGATGTTAAAAAATGTATAGAATTTTGGAAAGAGCTTGAAAAAGCTACAAGAGCACATGAATAAGAAACTCGCTTGCTAAAAATATTGTCTGCTTCAATTTAGAATGATGAGGATCATGTGGTGAGTCTGTGTTACGAGACAGTTCAAGATGGCCATTCTGTTCTTGTTTTCTGCCCATCAAAGAACTGGTGCGAGAAACTAGCCGACATCATTGCCAGGGAGTTTTACAATCTACAGCAGAAATGTAAGTTAAAGAAGAATTGAGAAAAAAACAATGATTAAAGTCCAAATTCAAAATTACATGGTTATTTTTCCCTATCCAAAGGCCTTCAGAAGACATCTACCGTTGCTCCAGTTACACTAGATACACAGAGGATAGAGGAGTTGATGGGTCAGCTGAAGAATTCTCCTTCTGGCTTGGATTGCATGCTTCAGAGAACGATAAAATGGGGTGTTGCTTTTCACCATGCTGGTATACATTTTATGTATTTATTTACTTGCTCTCTCTATTTCATATACAAACATTAATGTGCTAGTAAGTCACTTTGTACACAATAGTCATTCTGGAAAAATTCCTTTGTCGGAAATCTTGAATTTCCAACACTACTCGGACATGTGACTGGATGTTATTGATAAGCAAAATAATTTTTATCTGAACATGTACCTCCAGTACTTTTATGTTTTAGTCTTTATTGCAGAAATGAAATCTGAATACTGGGCTTGCAGCAGGTCCAGGTCTTTTCTTTTAATGGTCCTTGGCAAAGACAGTTTACATAGATTTCCCAAAATGGTCGTGACTTTTTCCCACAGCGAATCATTCACACACACCAGCCATTTAGCTGTGTTCCTATGCAATGATGCTGTATCATATTTCCCAACATATGGCTTGCCTCTAAATCTTATCTAGACATAGCTTCTCACTGCTAGAAGTTAACTAGAGCTAAATGGGATTAGTATTTATATTCTTAATAATTTGTTAAGACTATTTCACACAATATCATTCAGAAGTGTATTTAAAGATATACCTGCTTAATAATAATAATAATAATTTATTTATGTTGTTGTTCATTCGTTCAGTCGTCTCCGACTCTTCGTGACCTCATGGACCAGCCAACGCCAGAGCTCCCTGTCGGCCGTCACCACCCCCAGCTCCTTCAAGGTCAGTCCAGTCACTTCAAGGATGCCATCCATCCATCTTGCCCTTGGTCGGCCCCTCTTCCTTTTGCCTTCCACTTTCCCCAGCATAATTGTCTTCTCCAGGCTTTGCTGTCTCCTCATGATGTGGCCAAAGTACTTCAACTTTGTCTCTAGTATCCTTCCTTCCAGTGAGCAGCTGGGCTTTATTTCCTGGAGGATGGACTGGTTGGATCTTCTCGCAGTCCAAGGCACTCTCAGAACTTTCCTCCAACACCACAGCTCAAAAGCATCGATCTTCCTTAAGGTCCAGCTCTCACATCCGTAGGTGACTACAGGGAATACCATGGCTTTGACTAGGCGGATCTTTGTTGCCAGTCTGATGTCTCTACTCTTTATTATTTTATCGAGACTGGACATTGCTCTCCTCCCAAGAAGTAAGCGTCTTCTGATTTCCTGGCCACAGTCTGCATCTGCAGTAATCTTTGCACCTAGAAATACAAATATAAATAAATATAAATGTATTTATACCCCACCACCATCTCCCCGAAGGGACACGGAGCGGCTTACATGAGACCAAGCCCAACAACACATCAATAAAAACAACAAAGCAATAAGCAAATAAAACAATACAATTAATATAACTTACATATAAACAATAACACACAGTGATTTAAAAACCTATGGCGAAGATCTTGTACTGTATGCACACATGTGAAGGGTAGGCAGTTGCTTACTCCAAGCAATCACATTTCTCCTGTGACTGAAGTTAAATCTCTGTAGAATACCACCACTTGATGAATTTCCCCTGATGGAACATCTGCTCCATTAAAACTATTTTTAATATGTTTTATTGCATTTATATGTTTTATAATTTGATATGTTATTTTTATTATTTGTTGTTACACTTATTGCATTTATATGTTTTGTTTTATAATTTGATATGTTATATTTATTCATTGTTGTATGATGTGGCATTGAATGTTGCCATAATCTGTAAGCTGCTCTGAGTCCCCTTCGGAGTTGAGAAGAGCAGGGTATAAACACAGTAAATAAATAAATAGATATTCACCGATTGCTAGAAACATATTAGGGACACTTTCATTGTAAACCCACAATATTGTTAATACTGGATTAACAGGCTTTCCCAATAAATAAATACTCTTCATACCATACTTCAAAGTCTTGAGGGAAGCAACAGTGTTGTAGTTCTTCAGACAGTAGAAATTATTTTTCTCTAGAATGTTCAACACATTAATTTTCCAATAACCCAGTTAACTGTGTACGTAAAAGTGTAGTGTAGAGCTTGGAAAAATGCAGGATTTTAAAACAAAGCAATAGCATAGGAAACTATTATCAGTTTCATACTAATAAGAAGCATTTCCCATCAGTGCCTCGAGGCCGTTACTGGATGGCTACGTGCCAGCAGGTTGAGGGTGAATCCAGCAAAGACGGAGATCCTATAACTGGGTCAACCAGGCAGTGGGGATATCCAGCTGCCTACCCTGGATGGCCAGGCTCTATGCCCATCATCATTGGTAAAGAGTCTGGGAGTCCTTTTGGACCCTCTGCTGACGATGGAGGCCCAGGTCTCCGCCGTTAGCAGAACCGCCTTTTTTCATCTGCGGCAAGCTAGACGGCTGGCCCCCTACTTGTCCAGGGACGACCTAGCTACAGTGATCCAGGCTATGATCATCTCAAGACTGGACTACTGTAACGCCCTCTACATTGGCCTTCCTCTGTCGGTGATCCGGAAGCTCAAGTTGGTACAAAATGCAGCTGCTCGGCTTCTTGCGGGAATTCCGATGAGATGCCACATAACACCAATCTTACTACAGCTGCATTGGTTACCAATTGAACACCGGATCACTTTCAAAGTGATGGTACTCACCTTTAAGGCCTTGCATGGTCTGGGGCCGATGTACCTGAGGGACTGCCTCACCCCCTACCAACCCCAGAGATCCCTCCATTCTGAGGACCAAGATTTGTTGGAAATTCCCAGTGTCAAGACCTTGCGTCTAACAGCAACCAGACGCAGAGCCTTTACAGCAGTGGCACCATCACTCTGGAATACTCTGCCACCTGAAGTCTGTGCCTTGCGGGACTTATCAGCTTTCCGCAGGGCATGTAAGACATATCTGTTTTGACAGTCCTTTGATCTTTGATATTGCTGTTTTTAAATTGTTTTTAAATTGTGTTAGATTTTAGCCTGTTCTTGTAAGCCGCTCCGAGCCCCAGGGGAGTGGCGGCATATAAGTTCAAAATAATAAATAAATAAATAAATAAATTTTACTTGTATAGACTAACTAAGAACCATCTTGGTGGAATGGGAATGAAGCAATCATTGAGCATGAACAAGAGCTCCAGCTCCTTGCTCATATCCAAATCTTTTGGGGCCAAAGTTTTTTTGCATAGCAACCTTTGCAATAAATTTCACCATCCTTCTCTGTCAGAGTTGTTGATTCAAGGCTTTTGCCAGATTTGGCACATGGAAAACAGTTTTTGTGCCAATGCTTTCCTTCTCCTGTTACTTTCTCAGATCTATATACAGAATCACCACATCTGGAACACTTCTCTGCTCCACCAAATTTTTGGGCAAATTTTGAAGTATTTGGACTTGTTGTAGGTCGCTGGGATGGTGTGTTGCAATGCTTGATGCCCACCCTTTCCCCTCTGTCCATGTTGAGAGGGCCTGCTCCCTGGCCATAGCCATTCTCCTCTGTGGCCCTCCGACTCTGGAACTCACTGCCCGGAGAGATTAGGAAAGCCCCTACTTTAGAAATCTTTAAAAAGACTTGGCTCTGCCGTTGCGCTTTCGGAGAGTAGTCACATCATTTTTTCCACTGTTCCCTCAACGTTCATGCCCCAGAAGTCCATCCCCCCCTCCTCCACCGTACGAAGGTTTGTTTTTTTCTGTCTTTCTCTGTCTCCTCTACAAACAGTTCTGCCCTTTTATCTCACCCTTAGTTTTTAAATCAATTTTTAAAAATCATTTTATGTACATGCAGCCCGCTCTCTGTCATTATGTGTGGTTTCTATGTTTTGTGTATATTGTTTATATGCTTTGATGTTTTATACTTTATTGGTATGTTGTTTATTTTACTGTAATTTGTATTTTTGTTTTGTAACTTGTTGTTTGGGCTTGGCCCCATGTAAGCCGCTCCGAGTCCCCGTTGGGGGAGATGGTGGCAGGGTATAAATAAACTTTATTTATTTTTATTTTTATTATTATTATTATTATTATTATTATTATTATTATTATTATTATTATATCCTTTAGGACCATACTTCTTTCCATAACACGACTTGCAGTACATCTCTTCATCATGGATGGCTACTGTTGTGCTGTCTAAGTTCTTCCGGCAGACCATACAAAGCAGCATCTGTGAAAGCTTCTGCCATTTACTTGCTTTATTTCTATCCCACCTTTCTCTTGATCTAGTGACTCAAGGTGGCCCACAGTAAACATGACACAATACAATTAAAACATAGCAAATGCATTAAAATATTGTTCATTTTAATTAAAAAAATTAAAAATACATCTTTAAATCATGGAACATAAAAAAATACGTTTAAAATGATACAGCCCCTAGTAATCCAATGCAGCAGCCCGCCTCTCAGAAAAGCCTGATGATTGAGGTATGTTTTCATCTGTCTGGGAAAGGCAAGCAGGGATGGGGCCCTCGTGGTCTCTCTTACCTCAACTGAAAGTTTTCTAGAAATCTATTCTGATTTCTTTAGATATCTCCTGTTTTCACTCCTCACTGGAATTGTTTGAAACTGTGCCTCCACTTTTCAGAAACTGTGCCTCCAATATGTCACTTTTCAGAAAGTTTCATCCATCATGAACACTTTTCCCTTTGAGTATTCCTGATCATGGGATCACACTTAGGTTTTCCCAAAGTTTACTGGTTGGCTTAGTGTCTGACTATACTTGTCTTCTCCTTTTTGCTGCATAACAAACTAGAAGACCATGTGAGTTAGAGAGCATACTCGTGCATTTCTGTGACTTCAGTATTGAGTGAACTCAATACTGTAGAATTTTGTATTGCTGCAAATATGGTGTATTTCAATGGAGGAAGGTCATACATTCACATCACATTATTTTGATATAACTCAGCTAAGCAGAAAGTGTTTAACAGTGGACATTAAAGTTGTATTATAAATACAACTGCTTTAACTACTACAAATCAGTATTCAGTTTTGAAATAAATGTATATTATGTTCAATTTATTGACATTACTCAAGGTTTTGTTGCAAGAAGATGGAAGAAAATAGTGCTGTCCCTTCTTTATCATAATACCAAAATTGTCCAATGGGATTTGACTGAATTTGAATTTCAACTGTGAAATCTTCCTGGATCAAATTATTTCATGGACCTTTGGTATTGGTATTTTGGGACCGGTGGATGTCCATGTTTAGTGAGTATTTTAATTGCATTTCAGGTCTTACGTTTGATGAACGAGATATAATTGAAGTAGCTTTTCGACAAGGAGTACTTCGAGTCCTAATAGCAACTTCTACTCTTTCTTCTGGGGTGAATCTTCCAGCCCGTCGTGTAATTATAAGAACTCCTATGTTTGGTAGTAGATTGTTGGATGTGTTGACATACAAACAAATGGCTGGGAGAGCTGGAAGGAAGGGCGTAGATACCATTGGTAAGTACAATTAAAGACCAAAAAAGTCAAGGCATGCCATTTTTAATGTCTACTTTATCAGAAGGGAGGTTTGGGTGGGATTGGAGAAGGGGATATGAGTTTTTAAGGGCCATTTTAGTGTATTGTAATGTTTTTACCACACTATTACTATTTAATGGGGTTTTTTTTTTTGTATTTCACTTTAAACTTGTCTAGTGTGGATTGTTAGCTGCCTTGAGTCCCCATGGGGAGAAAGGCAGGGTATAAATAAAGATAATAATAATAATAATAATAATAATAATAATAATAATAATAATAGGGTTGTTGTAGGTTTTTCCAGGCTATATGGCCATGTTCTGGAGGCAATTTTTCTCCTGACGTTTCGCCTGCATCTATGGCAAGCATCCTCAGAAGTAGTGAGGTCTGTTGGAAGTAGGAAAAATGGGTTTATATATCTGTGGAATGACCAGGGTGAGACAAAGGACCCCTGTCTGCTGGGGCTAGCTGTGAATGTTTCAGCTGATCATCTTGATTTGCATTCAATGGCCTGGAAGCACCTGGGGGGAATCTCTTGTTGAGAGTGATTTTATGTGCCTGTTTGTTTCTGTTGTAATTTTTGTAATTGTAAATTTTGTTTCTGTTGTTTTGCTGTTGTAATTTTTGAGTTTTTTAATACTGGTAGCCAGATTTTGTTCATCTTCATGGTTTCCTCCTTTCTGTTGAAATTGTCCACATGCTTGTGGATTTCAATGGCTTCTCTGTGTAGTCTGACATGGTGGTTGTGAGTATTGTTACTGTATTGTTGCACTATCCTACGTGCCTGTAAAAATGTATTGCACTCATTGAATCTGTACCTCAGCTATGTTTCTTTCAGACACGTTGTTTTTATATTGCTTTCAATTGTGTTGTTATTTCTTTTAATTAGTTAAAGTGTTTTACATGTGTGTTTTAATTGTAATCTTGGACGTGTCCCTTGTAAGCCGCCCCGAGTCCCCTAGGGGAGATGGTTGGCGGGGTATAAAAATAAAGTTGTTATTATTATTGTTATTATTCCTTAACATATAAATATTAGGTAGAAATGTTCAAAATTTCATAGCAGACTATGAGGATGAGCTTGTTTCTCTTGAATCTTGTAGGATTTGCACCCCATTCTTGCCTTTCTTGTCCAGTTACTGTAGGAGTTGTATTAACTGCGAGAAAATGTCAGAGTCTAGTTTCACCCAGAATCACCTTAATCTCATAAATAGTTTTGATAGGTGCAACTTTTTCTATCCACCAACTATTGAATCTCATATTGTTCTGTTCCTATAAGTGCAGCATATATTTCATGTGTGGACAGAAACTTTTTTGCAGGAGTAGCTGGATTACAGATACATGATCTTGATTCCTGTGGTAGGAAGGCAGATGACAAAGATAATGGAAGAAGCCACAGTTGTATGCAGAGGGAGATGGATTCAGTATCTAGTCAGAACGAATGTATTTGTTATGTACTGTTGTTGAAGGGTAAAAGTTGTCTCTCTCTTAGGCAATCCCTCGTTGGCTGAGTAGGATAGTCTTCCTGGATCAGTGTTCTGGTGGGTCCGTAGGTGACTGTGGAGCCCTATTCTTGATCTGCATCTTCTCCCACAGTGAGGGCATTGGTTTCCAGGTGGAAGGCGGTCTCATTTGGGGTTGGCTTGACGCACCTTCCTCTTGGCACGTTTCTCTCTTTCACCCTCCATTCGTGCCTCTTCAAATTCTACAGCATTGCTGGTCACAGCTGACCTCCAGCTGGAGCGCTCAAGGGCAGGACTTCCCAGTTCTCAGTGTCTATACCAGAGTTTTATTTATTTATTTATTTACTTTATTTGTATACCGCTCTTCTCAGCCCTTAGGCGACTCAGAGCGGTTTACAACAATTTAGGTATACACAATACAAAATCATTAAGCATTTAAAAGCAATAGCATCACAAATCATTAAACATCAATATCAATACATCACTACATCATCATTTAAGGTTGGCTTTGAGACCATCTTTAAATTTCTTTTCCTGCCCACCAACATTCTGTTTTCCATTCTTGAGTTCAGATAGAGCAACTGCTTTGGGAGCCGGTGGTCGGGCATCCGAACAATGTGGCAAGTTCAGCGGAGCTGATGGCGGAGGACCATTGCTTCAATGCTGGTGGTCTTTGCTTCTTCCAGCACACTGACGTTTGTCTGCCCGTCTTCCCAAGAGATTTGCAGGATTTTCCGGAGGCAGCGCTGATGGAATCGTTCTAGGAGTTGCATGTGACGTCTGTAGACTGTCCATGTTTCGCAGGCGTATAGCAGAGTTGGGAGGACAATAGCTTTATAAACAAGCACCTTGCTCTCCCTATGGATGTTCTGGTCCTCAAACACTCTCTGCTTCATTCGGAAAAAAGCTGCACTCGCAGAGCTCAGGCGGTGTTATATTTCGGTGTTGATGTTGACTTTGGTGGAGAGGTAGTTGCCAAGGTAACGGAAATGGTCAACATTTTCTAATGTTACACCATTAAGCTATCTCTGGCATTGGAGAGGGGTTGGCTGGTGACTGCTAGAACAGCACTTGGGTTTTCTCGATGTTCAATGATAGGCCGAGCTTCTCGTATGCTTCTGTGAAGGTGTTTAGAGTGGCTTGTAGATCTTTTTCTAAATGCACACAGACGACATTGTCATCAGCATACTGAAGTTCTATAACAGATGTTGTTGTAACCTTGGTTTTGGCTTTCAATCTGCTGAGGTTAAACAGCTTGCCATCTGTCCAATAGATGATTTCCACTCCGGTGGGTAAAAGTTGTATGCCACCTGTGGTTGTCAGTGAGAAATCCACAAAGGCTTTGGCATCTCTTACATGCACAACATAGTGCTTCAATTGGAGCCACTGTGAAACAAAATACATAAGCTATATATTGGGATCAAGGGTGGTAGCTGAATAAAATACACATCTCGGCTCTTTACACTAGTGACTGCTCTCTGTTGGATGAATTTCTTGTAAACATTTTGGCAAGCTACTCTTGGGATTCTTTCTAAAACTGATTTGATAGTGAAACTTCTTAGTTTTAAAAATGCACACTGTCACCTGTGCCTGCACATATAAGTAAGGCAATGCACATTTCCCTTGTCATCGTTTCAAATGTTTTGTGTTGCTAGGTGAGAGCATTCTGGTTTGCAAGTCCTCTGAGAAATCAAAAGGCGTTACCCTACTACAAGGCCAACTCAAGCCAGTGCACAGCTGTCTGGTGAGCCAAGAAGGAGAAGGGATTACTTCCAGTATGGTACGGGCAATCCTTGAGGTATGTAGTACATACGATAGGAGAATAAACCTCTACTCAGAATCCATATTAATACTTGCAAGCTGTATGTTTCTGGAAATTCTTCCTCTCCTCTATGGTCAACATAAAGTTCCACTCTTGCTAAAAATGCACTTCCAATTTTAATCTTACTACAGTAAGTTAATGGTGGTAAATAGAAAAAAGAATGGATTCAGAAAATATTTACTTGATTTATTTAATTATCATGTCAGGAGCAAACCAAACAGTTGTATTGCATTTTTTAACAAACAAACAAAAAACAAAGTTTGCAAGCTTGGTAGCTGATTAAATGTCCTTTGACCAGTAGCTGGCCACTTGGAGTGCCTCTGGTGTTACTATAAGAAGGTCCTCCATTGTGCATGTGGCAGGGCTCAGGTTGCATTGCAGCAGGTGGTCTGTAGTTTGCTCTTCTCCACACTCGCATGTCAAGGATTCCACTTTGTAGCCCCATTTCTTAAGGTTGGCTCTGCATCTCGTGGTGCCAGAGCGCAGTCTGTTCAGCGCCTTCCAAGTCGCCCAGTCCTCTGTGTGCCCAGGGGAGTCTCTCATTTGGTATCAGCCATTGGTTGAGGTTCTGGGTTTGAGCCTGCCACTTTTGGACTCTCGCTTGCTGAGGGGTTCCAGTGAGTGTCTCTGTAGATCTTAGAAAACTATTTCTTGATTTAAGTCGTTGACGTGCTGGCTGATACCCAAACAGGGGATGAGCTGGAGATGTCTCTGCCTTGGTCCTTTCCCTATTGGCTGCTACTTCCCGGCGGATGTCAGGTGGTGCAATACCGGCTAAGCAGTGTAATTTCTCTAGTGGTGTAGGGCGCAGACACCCTGTGATAATGCGGCATGTCTCATTAAGAGCCACATCCACTGTTTTAGTGTGGTGAGATGTGTTCCACACTGGGCATGCATACTCAGCAGCAGAGTAGCATAGCGCAAGGGCAGATGTCTTCACTGTATCTGGTTGTGATCCCCAGGTTGCGCCAGTCAGCTTTCGTATGATATTGTTTCTAGCACCCACTTTTTGCTTGATGTTCAGGCAGTGCTTCTTGTAGGTAAGAGCACGGTCCAGAGTGACTCCCAGGTATTTAATTAATGATAATAATAATAATAATAATAATATGCCATCGATTGTAAGATGTACCCCATTTTTAGATACGTTTATGTAGGAAAAATTGCATCTTAGAATTGAAGAAATCTAGTAATAGAGTACAAAGGGACTCTAAAGTTAACAAGTTACAAAAAAATCAGATCACATTTTTAATTTCATGACACACTGATTTCTTTTATGATTTTAATGATCATGGAAATGTCCTGATTTCCCTTAAACCATAGGCATCTGTGACAATGTGAGGCAACACCTTTTCCCAGTTTTACCATGCAGCTGATATTCACTTGTATCCTACTTCTGAAAACACAAAGTGTGGATTAGAAGGTCATTCTTAATAGCTGATAAACTATATCTTATCATCAGCAAATTCTGTAAATATTTTAAGATTAGTTATCTGTTGCCCGCTATTCTGAAAGAATAAATAATGTGGAAGAATTGTTCCATGACTGTCCTTGTAAATATGAGTTAATGTCACAGCAGGTTTATTATTCTCAGGTGTTATTGATGCATCATTTTTTTAGAAAGACACCGTCTTTCCCATCTCCAAAGGGGTCCCATTTCAAATTGTCTGCTGCGTCATTTTACTAGTATAGTGATTATTTTAAATTGTCATTTTAATAGATCATAGTAAGTGGAGTGGCAGACTCTCCAGAGGACATCCAGCATTATGCTTCCTGTACACTTCTTGGTGCCAGTTTGAAAAATATGCAGGACATTGAGAGAGAGGAAGAGAGAATGTGTCTTGGGCCTATTGATGCTTCTGTGCAGTGGTTACTTGAAAATGAATTCATCCGTATTTCAGCCTCTGATGGGGGCAAAGGTAAATGCTGATTTGCATTTGGATCACATGCTATTGTTTTAACTGCAGATATAGTTGCCCTCCATATCTGTGGATTCTTTATCCACAGATTCAACCATCCATGCTGTGAAAATATTTTTCTAAATCTAAAAAGCAAACCTTGATTATGCCATTTTATATAAGGGATATCATTTTAAAAAGAACCATAATACCTGGCTCTTCCGTTGCGTCTTTGGTGAGTAGGTATACAACCTCACACTATTGCTTAGCCTCAACGTTCTGTCATTGGCGTATACGTCCCCCCCACTCTTGTGGAAAAGCTTGATTCCACAACCCCTGCTATAATGAGCCCGCCTCCATGAATAACCTGCTTCTCCTTTATCTCACCTGAGTTTTTAATTAGTTTTTAATTAGTTTTTTCTTTTAATCATTACATGTAGTCCGCCCATTGTCTCTGTGATTATGTTTATTGTAATTTTATATTGCTATGCATTCACATGTTTTATGTAATGAAGCCATATAATGTATTGTCGAAGGCTTTCATGGCCGGAATCACTGGGTTGTTGTAGGGTTTTTTTGGGCTATATGGCCATGGTCTAGAGGCATTCTCTCCTGACGTTTCGCCTGCATCTATGGCAAGCATCCTCAGAGGTAGTCAACCTCTGAGGATGCTTGCCATAGATGCAGGCGAAACGTCAGGAGAGAATGCTTCTAGAACATGGCCATATAGCCCGAAAAACCTACAACAACCCATTGTTGTTTATTATCTGCTTTTTCGGTTTTATTTGCTGTAATTTGTTGTTTGGGTTTGGCCTCATATAAGCTGCCCCAAGTCCCCATCGGGGAGATGTTGGAGGGGTATAAAAGATTATTATTATTATTATTATTATTATTATTATTATTATGCTATTATATAATGGGATATGAACCTCCACAGATTTATGTATCCGCACAGGATCCCGGAACACAAACCCAGAGGCAGTGTAGATTTGGAGCAAAAGATATTTGTGGTCACCATATCTCCTGATTCTTAATTCAATGCTATATATGAATATTTGGAAGCCATGTATACGGCAGCATCTTTCATTGGTGTCACTTCAAACCTCAGTTTCTTGTTGATCCTGTTACCTTAGTATGATTTTTTTCTCCTTGAATTTTTATAGAAACGTGTGATACCTAAAGAGTTGCCATTTTAATCTGTTGCAGAAAAAAATTAATCGCTTTAATAAATGAACTGCTAACTAGGATTACAACTATGTCATCTTTCTTTTGACAGAAATGTATTCTGCAACACAACTTGGGTGTGCTACTCTGTTCTCCTCGTTTTCACCAACTGCAGCACTAGAAATATTTGCTGATCTTCAGAGAGCAATGAAGAGCTTTGTCCTAGAGAATGATCTACACAGTATTTATTTGGTAAGATTTTTTGTTATATAGTCTGGCATCTCAGAATTCTTCCAACTCTTTAAGATTCTTTGATTGCTTGAAATGCTCGTTTGCCTCGTTCTTTCATGTAAGAACTAGTGATTGCAGTTTTTCATTTTGCAAGTTATTTTATGACAGTTAAGAGTTTTGCTCCTCTATCACGTTTCTGTGAATTTAGTAGTTAAACTATTGCCTTGCGACATGTGTCAGTGACATTGGCAGCGCAGCAAGGCAGGAACAGATCTATCACAGCCACCTAGGCTATAAACTACTTTATTTTACAGCTATATACATTAGAAGCTACGTAACAAAGGGACTCTAAAGTTAACAAGTTACAAAAAAATCAGATCACATTTTTAATTTCATGACACACTGATTTCTTTTATGATTTTAATGATCATGGAAATGTCCTGATTTCCCTTAAACCATAGGCATCTGTGACAATGTGAGGCAACACCTTTTCCCAGTTTTACCATGCAGCTGATATTCACTTGTATCCTACTTCTGAAAACACAAAGTGTGGATTAGAAGGTCATTCTTAATAGCTGATAAACTATATCTTATCATCAGCAAATTCTGTAAATATTTTAAGATTAGTTATCTGTTGCCCGCTATTCTGAAAGAATAAATAATGTGGAAGAATTGTTCCATGACTGTCCTTGTAAATATGAGTTAATGTCACAGCAGGTTTATTATTCTCAGGTGTTATTGATGCATCATTTTTTTAGAAAGACACCGTCTTTCCCATCTCCAAAGGGGTCCCATTTCAAATTGTCTGCTGCGTCATTTTACTAGTATAGTGATTATTTTAAATTGTCATTTTAATAGATCATAGTAAGTGGAGTGGCAGACTCTCCAGAGGACATCCAGCATTATGCTTCCTGTACACTTCTTGGTGCCAGTTTGAAAAATATGCAGGACATTGAGAGAGAGGAAGAGAGAATGTGTCTTGGGCCTATTGATGCTTCTGTGCAGTGGTTACTTGAAAATGAATTCATCCGTATTTCAGCCTCTGATGGGGGCAAAGGTAAATGCTGATTTGCATTTGGATCACATGCTATTGTTTTAACTGCA